ATAAAATAATTTTATACGCATGTATCATACCTTGTATCATACCGTATAATACACATGTATAATACCGACTCACATCTCTAGATATTTCACATCCTTAAGAACTTCTGATTTATTAAATATTTTGGATTACTTTTTTCTTAACATAATTTTTACAATTTTGGACTATCCTAAAAGAATTTTAGTTTCAATGCGTAGCTGAGAAACTATTGGTTTTACTTTGACGTGTTTCTTTTNTTATTATTATTTTTTTTTTTGTGTCTTTCAATACTTTTTCTCTTTTCTCACTGCAAAACAGTGTGTCAGAGCGTAGAAATAGATTAAAAATGAATTTAATTGAAATGTGTAGCTGAAATCACTAAAATTGAATTAAATCCACAAACAATATTCCAGAGAACTAATTTCAATTGATTTTAGATAATTTTAGCTTCAATGCGAACCTGAGAAAGTATTAATTTTACCATGTCGTTTTTTTATTTTTTTATATCTGTTTCCACTTCTTTTTAGTTCTCTCTAGATTAAGTTTGATGAACATTATGTCAAAAGATCACAAATCGTTTCTAGTTGAAGAGATTACTCTTAAAAATTTTAAAAATTTCCCGCGTTCCTCGTTAATGGGGGAAATTTAAAAAAAAATTACAAATTTACAAATCAGTATATATTGTCATTTTTTTCACTTTTTTTCTTTAAAACTTCCATAACTTTGTCAAAAATCAACAAATCACCATAATTTATTTTTATACTAAAACCTTAGATATTTACCTTTCATTTGATATCATTTTTATTGAAAATCTAATACTTAACCTGCTCACTGAGGGGATTTAATATAGCAACTTTTTTACAAAAACTAACTTTTTTAACTTAATTTTTGAAAATGTTCCGGAAATACTGCATCCTTTAAACATATTTCAAATCATAGGTTGTGCCACTGTGCCGGGTTTCTGTTCATAGTAAAGTATATAATAAGCTTTAATTTAAGATTAAATAAAACTGTGAAAATTACTTTCTCCGTGATGAGTGATATTCTCTTTCAATTTGTGGTATTTGTAAAATGACTCTTGTAACATGTCAATTGTTCATCTGTTACAGCAACAGATGAACAATTGATCGAATAAAATATAATTATAAGACTATATTTGTTAATAATTACTTTTTTTTTATCACATTATAAAATTAAAAGTACGTCTTCCTATTTACAAAAATTAAACTTAAGTTTTTTTTATCGTTAATGAGATGAAAAAATTGATTTTACTGTATATTATTGTAAGTTTTAAACTAAATAATTTTCTCTTAACGAAAATTTAAAATTTTCAATTGTTTCTGAAAAATTTAGTATCTTACCCAAATTTAATCATTTTGTATTAAAATTAAAAGTGTTATCTAAAAATAATTATTAAAAATTGAAATTTAAAGCTTAAAATAATTTTTAGTTCCATCAAATATTGTAGAATACAACAACAGCGAAGTCAGTCCAAATGACGCTTATAATGACATTGCACAAAGCAAAATGAATTTTCCAGATGGCTTCATGAGTGCCGAAAAATTGCATGAATACATGAAAAATCACTTACCGAATATTACTAAGGGTATTACTCTTGAAAAATGTCATTTGTTAGTCCAAGAATTCGCAAAAGTAGATCAATATAAAGGACTTACACTAGATGGTAAGAGATACGTTGTCTAAATTAATAGTAATTTTATGAATCTATCCGGACTATTAATATACACCCACTCAAAAAATTAATATTTAAACACGTTTGTTATTATAATAATTTAATAAACATAACCGGGGCATATTTAAAATTCATTTTAGCTGGGGCGACTTAATTATTTTTACTATGAGAAACAGAAAAAATTTTTTCGCTAAAAGTCAAATAAACAAATAAGGTTCTTTTTAACCATATATTGTAAATATTACATTTAAAAAAAAATTTTGATAGCGCATATTTAAGGGGGTGATTGTTCTTAACGCTCTTCCTTAAATATGCAACTGTACATAAACAAGGGGCTCCGGAACTATTTTTTACATGGGGGGGAATNTAAAAAAAATTTTGATAGCGCATATTTAAGGGGATGATTGTTCTTAACGCTCTTCCTTAAATATGCAACTGTACATAAACAAGGGGCTCCGGAACTATTTTTTACATGGGGGGGAATTTAATAACTAAAACTCGATCCCATTGATTGTAACTAAATTAAAAAATCAGATTAAGATATTTTTTGGTGGATTTTAGTGATCATGTACAAGGTGATTTCTTTATCATAACCCACTCAATTACTTACATAATAACAATAATTAAAACATTTTTTTTGGATATCTTTAGCTACACATTATTCTTGAATAATTAACTATGATGTACTTTATAAGTTCATCCCTTATGTCTGGTAAGAGAGTCAACATTGTTTTTTTAAATGGAAACACATATTTTGAATTTAATAAAATCTTTGGCATTTTAATTTATTAATAAAGGCATTTGAATTTTTAGTATCACTTTATTTGTTTATTAGATATAAACATTTAAAGTTTCAAATTTTTGAGTTAATATGCATGTATTATACATAAGGGTTTACAATTACGGTAGCTAATTTGTTTTTTATGACATCGATATTAGCAGGTACACAGCATTGGTAATATCAATAACTAATAACTAATAATAATCAACTAATTCATACGCCATTTACTAATAAATTAGAATCTCAAAGATTTTATTAAATTCTAAACATTTGTTCCCATTTAAGAAAACAATTTTGACACCTTTACCATCAAGGGATGAACCTTAAAAAGTATTGTATAGTTAATAATTTAAGATAAATATGTAAAAAAAAATTAACCAAAAAAAAATGTTTAAATTATATTTATTCAGTAAGTAACTGAGTGGGTTATGATAAAAAAATCACCCTGTAAAAAAATATAATTAATAATTAATAATTAATAATACATACTATTTTAATTATATTGTTAATAAGTATTGATAATATAATAAAATATAGTTTATGATGAATTACATAATTTATATTGAATCTGTAAGCCGCAACTTTTGTACGAATCGCGATAATTTGACAACGTTGTATAATATCTATGTTGGACTTGCTGGCCCAACCCCACAAATGACATCCATAAGTCCAGACAGGTTTTACGATCGCTACTAGAGATGAGTTTTTCACGAACGAACGAATTGCATTGAACGGGTCAAAATAGTGAACGAAATAATTCAGATCGCCGAACCTTAGTGATCCGTATCCCCCAAAATACCTAATTTTTTCCCGTATAAATCACACTGAACCGATTCGATCGCCTTCCAAACATCAATGATTAAATATTTATATGTCATTTGTTTATACGACACATCAGGCACGTATTAAGAATCAATTTTCGGGGCGGTGGGTTTAAAATTTTTAATTCATAATAAATAGTTTTAATTCACATTACAAAAAAGTACATAATTAATAATTATAAAATGAAAATATTTTACAGTACTAAATATATAATAATTAAAACTTTTATTACAATGAAACTAATGAAAAAAAAAATTAAAATCATGTTAAGAACCCCTGAATATTATTTTATAATTGTGTAGAGTATATAATACATGGTCGTCCGACTGACGTCAAACACAGGAATGTGCTGACCAAGGGTTTTAGGGCAACCATGGGCAAAGGACTCCCACTGTAGGTACCCTACAGTCAGTCGTGGTTTAGTATGCGCTAGTTACACTCATTCTATATCATTCTAAATCATTCTATATCATTCTATATCATTCTATGTCATTCTATTTTATTATTCTATTCATTTGTATTAATATTAATAAATAACGTGTATTGTATTATTAATTGTGTCAATCAAATTATATATTTTAAAGTTTTATTGAAAAGTGAGCGTTTTCTTTTTCTTATTAAGTTTAATTCCTTTTACCACGTGGGCCCGCACAACAATCATAGAACTAAGTCAATCTTGCGTGGGATTTTGAAAAATGTATTGATAATTTCTTCAATATTTATTGGAATGTTTCGATGGACTAATAATAAAGCTAAACCTATTAGACGATCTTCACCGCAGGTATTCCTCAAATACGTTTTTAATCGTCTCAAAGTTGAAAATGAACGTTCTGCTGAATAAGTCGACACTGGGAGTGTTGCAAGTATTGATATTAAACACCAAATGTTTGGATAAAGGTCTTTTGACATAACGTCTAAAGTATCGATTGCTAATTTCGGTAATTCTTTATCGGGTACAGCTTTCCATTTTTCCATCCAAACCTTCAATTCTGATTCAAATGTTTCATAAGTAGGTAAAAAGCTTTTGTAAAAGTCTATGCATTTTTTAAAGTCATCACAACTTGGATCTAATTTTATAAGGAAACTTGGAATCAAGTTTTGCAAACCAGATATAATGTAATTATGTTTTATAAATCTTTCAATTAATTGACTTTTGAAGAAGTCTAAAAATGACAAAATAATTGACGTCCTATAATATTGTTCTGGCGAATCAGCTAACAGGGTATTATTACGATGTATAGAATGATTAATTACTCGTGGCATTTTAACTGTTTCATCTACCAAGCTTAATACGTTTTCTATTTCTAAAAATAATTTGTGGAATTCTACCTCACTATTTTCATGAATAGAATGAATAACTTGAACACAGTTTTTGATATATTCACAACACTCAGATATTTCTACATTTATTTTTTGTAGAGATTTACATAAAAGCAATGTTATAGCAAATAATTTTTATGTAACGTACAATGAAATTACAAATGAACTTGAGGTAATAGTTTATGAAAATTGAAATGCAAGTTGTGATGTTTCTAAATTATAATGATGTTCGAGTTCCCTTAATGTGTTTGTATTGGTAAATATAGTTCCTTAAACCGTAACAAGCTGTCATGGCGTTCAACCTAGCGGGTTTCACACATTTTTAAAAGCGTTTCATGACGTGTGCCTGGAATTAAGTTTTTAATAATTTTTTTAAGAACTTCTGACCTTATTGGAGATTTTCAAAATAATGAAATAATAGAAGTTATAGATTCAATACAATTTCTTATCTGAGGAATAGTGCACGATTTACTTATGGCGAGGTTCAACGAATGGGCGACGCAATGAACGTATAAATCTTAAGGTAATATATTACATATATTTTTTTGAACTCCATTATATATATCAATCATTGAAGAAGCTCCATCGTAACCTTGACCACTAAAAGTATGACCCGGAGCTGTCTTTCAGTCAAATAGAACTCGAGTAGTGTACACCATGAGTTTGGTAATTGTTCACGCAAATTTAAGCAGGCCACTATGCCAGAATTCATTAAAAGTCTGGGCTATGTCAAGGAATATTCCGCAACAATATTTTTTTTCTTCAAACGCGTTACTTATTACGTTTGTTACACAATGAATTTGGTCTATAGTTGAATGTTTGTTTCTAAAACCGAATTTATGATCGGGTATAAGTTTTTTTTCTTCCATTAAAGGATTATGGCGCTTTAAAAGAAGCTTTTCTAGTTTAGCTATACTGGGTAAGAGTGATATTAGCCTATATGAAGAAGGTTGCTCTGGGGGCTTGCCAGGTTTCAGCAACATGATTATTTTTCCATTGTTCTGGAATATAATGTGTACGTATTATAGCGTTGTAAATATAAGTTAGATGAATGATAGCTTTTTTTGGTAATTCTTTCAGAATACGAGGGCTGATTTCATCATAGCCCGGTGCTTTTTTAGGGTTGATGTTTATATCAATTTCATGTGCAACTTCTAATGGTTTGATGGTTGGTATTCTACTTGGTAAAGTTCTGAATTTATGTCGTTCGGTGGAAAAACATGTTCTATATAAAGTGCATATGCTTAGTCAATATCAGTACGCGCTCACATACCAACTTCTTTACGAATAGGAAGTATATAAGTCGAGATATTTTCATTTTTCTTGTAGCTTTCTATAGAGAAAAATCGCTAGAAACTGTTGTAGGTTGTCCGCTTAAATATGACTTAAATGTTTCGTTTTTAACTTCTTTGATTTTCTTACGAAGCGCTTTGCATAAGCGATTCCATTCGTTTTATTTGGTAAATGACGGGTAGTGTGCCATTTTCTTCCAGCTCTGCGTTTTTGCTGAATAGATTCTTTTATTTCTGCAGAATAGGTTGTCTCAAAAGTTTCTGGAGTAGCTTTTTTTGCTGCATTAACAATATCATTAGTTAGTTTATGTACTACTGTTTCTATGTTACTTGCTGTTTTCAACTGTACGGAAAGTGTGATAGTTTTTTCTAGGGTCATTCTGAAAAAATCCCAGTCTGTCTGTTTATTTGTGAGAAAAATGTTCCGCTTTTTTGTGACTGTTACCACTTTTTCTCAGCTCTCACCAAATGGATTTCTTTCAACGATACGTCAAAAGATCACAAATCAAATCTAATCGAAGACATTACTCTTAGAAATTGAAAAAATTTCCATCGTTTCCCGTAAATAGGGAAAACCTCCAAAGAAATTACAAATTTAAAAATTGCTAATTTTCGAAATTTTTTATATAGATGTACGATACCATTATCTTTCATTTGGTATATTTTTTTCATAAATTTAACCCTTAACCTGCCCATAAGGGGGGATTTAAAATGACATATTTTTCACAAAAAATTAATTTTTTTAACTTTAATTTTGAAAATGTTCCGGAAGGTCTGACACTTTTATATATATCTTAAATTAAAGCTAATGTAATATGCTTTATCATGAAAAAAAAAAAAATTTCGGACTTTATCTTATCTTCACGGTGAAAATGGCTACCGAATACTATTTTTGTGTGAAAATTTTCGATTTTGTATTTTCCTTTTTTAACTTTATTATGCTATAACTTTTTGAAAAATGTATGGATCAATACAATTTTTTCATTAGAAGTAGTATTTATATACATCTTTCATTCGACATACTGTTTTTTTAAATCCGACCATTTCCCTATATACGAGGGGGGTTTAAATCTAAAAAAATGCATATAGAAAGTACAACTTTTTCAACTAAACTTTTGAAAGTGTCCGGAAAGTCTGACACTTTTATATATATCTTAAATTAAAGCTAATGTAATATTTTTTATCATGAAAAAAAAAAAATTTCGGACTTTATCTTATCTTCACGGTGAAAACAGACATCAAAATTAATAAAAAAAATACGATTTTTGTAAAAAAATTCTTTTTTATATTTTTAACTTTATAATGCTATAGCTTTTTGGAAGATCTATGGATCAATATAATTCTTTTTTTTGTAGATGCATGATGTTATTACCTATCATTTGGTATAATTTTTTTATAAATCTGACTTTTTACCTGCCTACAGGGGGGGATTTAAAATGGCAACTTTTTCACAAAAATTCACTTTTTCAACTTAAATTTTGAAAGTGTTCCGGAAAGTCTGACACTTTTCTATATATATTAAATTAAAGCTAATGTTATCTACTATATTATGTAAAAAAAAATTTCAGACTTTATTTTGTCTTCAGGGTGAAATTAGCTATCAAATGCTATTATTGTGTGAAAATTCTCAATTTTATTTTTTACATTTTTAACTTTATAAAGCTCTATCTTATTGAAAAGTGTATTGATCAATATAATTTTTTTATGGGAAATACTATTTTATAATAATCCCTTTTTCATTCAGGATACTAATAAGAAAATAGCACATCATGTAGCTTTTGGAATAATCCACCAATTTTTTAAAATTAAACACTATCTAAAGATTTGCATCGAAGCGTTTTTTTTTTTATAGTGATTTAAATCACTGTCAGATATCATTATACTTGATCCAACTATGCCACGTCACCACTGTGCCGCGACCCCCCTGTGCTGGGTTTTTTTTTTAATTGATATCTGTGATACTCAATTTTATTTTTTTCAAGTACTTTTAAATTACGTCTCAACTGGTGTTCATCACCAGTCATAATTTTAATATCGCTTTTAGCAATAGTTTTTAACTGTTGCTCATGACCTATGGCTTCTTTGCGAGTTAAATTAGAAATTTAATTGTTGATATATTTAACACCACTGGTAGATATTGGAGGTAGTTTATAAATGTTTTTCTATTTCTTTTACTTGTTTTGTTGATGAACTACGTGAAGTATCTGAGCTACACCCTAATTTATCACTAATAAAATTTTTATTTTCATAATTATCATGTATGTTACTTACATGCTAATTAACTTAATGACTTAACTTAATGTAAAGAAGTACATTTTTTTAGTATATTTTTAAAAATAATATAATTTTAAAACAGTCCAATAGTGAGATGCATGATAATTTTCATGGCTAGGAAAGTTTTCTAAACCACACAGCGTAGGAAAGTTTTCTTAAACATAAGCAAGTTAAATTTAAGTTCGTCAAAGTCAACTTTTTGTTTAAAATGTATGGTAAAACTCAAAAATTAAAAAAATTCTCTATAAAATAATATATTATGTTTTTCTTTGTGACAATAGTTTTTTACGCATAAAAATTATTTACTATATTAAGAAAAAATTCAAAATATTTATTTTCATTTAAAACTCACATGGTAGACACTAGTTAATTATTATTACAAATGAAACTCGCAAACCAAAAGCTTTTCAAGTTCAAGATTCCTAAAATTTAAATGTGTTCTTATATAGTTTATATAAATTTATCACAAATGCTTTATGTCCATTACTGTAAAACTGTTATTTGTCTTAAAAAAAAATTTTAATCACATTTCAGCTAATTTATTATTATTTATTTATATTTTTTATAGAATATTATAGAGTGCATGAGGGGATTTTACTTCGGAGGTATGATACAGAAGAAAAATTAACAGAAAAGTAATTTAATTTTTGAAAAATTTGTTTACATCAATTTTTAATTCAGTGTAAATTGAATGCATTAAATAAAATATAAATTTTTAGTTTTTGTTATATTCTCTTATAATAAATGAAAAATCATGTTAAAAAATTATCATAAGTATGAGTATAATTTGTATTTAATATTTCCTAATAAAGCATTATTTCAATTCATTTTTTGAAACTTTAATTTTAATATTTTAGCTTCGATGCAAAGCTGAGAAGTTATAAATTTAACTATGATGTGTTTATTTTTATGTCGGTCACACTTTTACTCAGCTCTCACTAGACCGATTTCTTTCAACGATACGTCAGAAGATTACAAATCGTATGTAGTTGAAAGCATTTGTATTAAAAGTTGAAAAATATTTTTTCGTTCCCTGTGAATTGTAGAAATCTCAAAAAAATTACAAATTATTAATATCGTTAAATTTTATCATTTTTGAATGTCAAAACTGCCATTACTTTTTCAAAATGAGTCAAACTAATTTTAGCTTCGAAGCTGAGAAGGTATTAATTTTACCATGATGAGTTTTTTTTTTTTTTTTTTTTGACTGTTACCACTTTTTCTCAGCTCTCACCGAACCGATTTCTTTCAATGATACATCAAAAGATCATAAATCGTATCTAGTCGAAGACATTACCCTCAAAAATTGAACAATTTTCCTTCGTTTCCCGTAAAAGGGAAAACCTCCAAAAAAATTACAAATTAAAAAATCGCTAATTTACGAAATTTTTTCAATTTTTTTTGTTTAAAGTTATGGCAACTTTTTCAAAAATTAACAAATCAATATAGTTTTTTTTTTATAGATGCTTGATATCTTTACCTATCATTTGGTATATTTTTTTATAAATTTAACCCTATACCAGCCCACAGGGGGGGATTCAAAATGACAACTTTTTCACAAAAAATTATCTTAACTTTTGAAAGTGTTCCGGAAATACTGACACTTTTATATATATCTTAAATTAAAGCTAATGTAATACACTTTATTATGAAAAAAAAAAAGTGACTTCTGGGCTTGTCTTCGTGGTGACATAAATGGCTACCGAATGCTAATGATTTCGTGTGAAAATTCTTGATTTTATTTTTTACATTTTTAACTTTATAATGCTATAACTTATTGAAAAGTGTATGGATCAACACAATTTTTTTATGAGAAATAATATTTTTTAATAATCCCTTTTTCATTCAGGATACTAATAAGAAAATAGCACATCATGTAGCTTTTGGAATAATCCACCAATTTTTTATAATTAAACATTATCTAAAGATTTGCATCGAAGCGTTTTTTTTTGATAGTGATTTTAATCACTGTCAGTTATCATTATACTTGATTCAACTATGCCACGTTAGCATTGTGCCGCAACCCCCCTGTGCTGGGTTTTTTTTTATATAGAAACCTTAAGTATGTCCCTTTTATTTAATTTTTTTTTTTTAAACCTGACCCTTAACCTGTTCAGGGGACGGATTCAAGGTTAGGTTTGGGTATAAACACCACCTTGACCTTTCGTCAACTGACCGGTTTATAACCATAGGCAAGGCATGCCCTGAATATTTTGCAGAGATGGAAGACGATTACCTCGAACCCTTCTTGCAAAATTGCAGGGAAAATTTCGTCACAGCCTGCAGCTTTGAAACTGCCAAAGGCTTCAATCAGTCAAAAGGTCATCAATCGCAAAAAACAAAAAAATTCGTCATTTTTAAAGTTCTAATGATTCTCGCAAATCATAAATTTAACCACCTCCTCCCTTTAAAAAACAAATTAAATATTATGTGAATTGTTATATAAATAAAATTAAAGGTGGTGGGGGTTCAATCATCCATTATAAAATATTTTTTTATGGAATCATGTAATATTATATTATCACTTATAATATTAAAATATTATATTATGTTATCTTTTGTACATGTATGTCATATATTATAAATTCATAAAATCACCAAAACAGGGTTCCCTTATTTAAAACATAAAATAATCAATAAACAAGGCAATTAAATATGATTATTGTACAGATTCAAAGTAACGCCTATGTGTGGGTTCTCAATTAAGTCCAGCCAATCACATTTAACTATTAATTAAGATCTACAGTTTCTAAGATCACACTAAGGATCGCTACACAACCCTCATCTTCTATAAAAACCCATTTTTCCTATTAAATCAAATTTTTGGGTGATTTCAAAATACACAAAATCTGCGACACTCTATTCAAGATTCTTATTCTCTGGGACTTATTAGAATATTTTTCAACTTAAAAACAATTAGTCTTTTTTAAATTTTTTTTGGACTTAGAATATTTTATCAAATTAAACGGAATTTAGAATAATTTTAAAGTGAATTTTGTTTTGGTGAATTTTTTATTTTAAATTTATTTGTTCATTAAATAATTATGTTTTATTGTTTATTTTATTATGGAAATAATTGTCAATTACTATTTTAAGCCTCAAACATTTTTTAAAGGTTATATTTTTTTTTTATAATAAACCCGAATCAACTTTAATTATTAATTTAATGGTAAATATTCATTATGAAATAAAGGTTACAATTACTCCAAATTTAAGTTAATTTAATAATAATTTTAGTCGACTAAGTATATTGCAACTTTATACTTACTAGGTAGCTAGCCATTGAGCTTAATGTCTTTGTTCTAACGGACATCGCGCCGGCAGACAGCGCAGAGAAACTTACGAATATATTTTTTTTAGTGTTTAATTTTTGTCTTGGTGATTATTGTGCCGCATCCTTTCAAGGTGCTAGCGCCGGAACACATTGGGCCACCACAATCTGCTTTAATAAATCTTTTACACAGATATTAATATTTTTGAATCTTGTTTTGGCCAGGCCAGAGGAATATTTAAAAAGTATTAGTGTCGATCTCTCAATAAAATATACTCTCACAAAAGTATACTTGTTCAACAAAAATCAAATAAAGATATATTGTCTAGTTATATTTTTAATGAGTTATAGAGTGAGTAGAAACTCTTGCATATAATAAAATAGCCTTAGATTTTGTGTAACGGTTTCGTATTATTAATAATTAAACGTTCTTTTTCTTCTGAACGGTCGTATTAACTGTATACCGTGTAATGTGCAGCGTGCGAGGCACAGTGAGAACTCATAATTAATATTGGATTGTTTGAAATAAGCATTACATTACGTGGGATGCGAGGAAAGTACAAATTTAAATTTCCGCTTCTAAATCATAAGCATTCTACTGCGTAATAAACCATTAGGATAGGTAATAAAGTTTTGTAGGATAATTTACATCATTTATTCAATATTGTTCAACCCTGAGATCAGTTTAATATTTTGTCACAACGTTTGTGTACATTTTTATTTATTTGACCATTACCCTCATGTATTTAAACTACTTTTATTCACCCCTCTAAATTCTTCTGTATTCATATCATTATATTCTTTGAATCCTTACATATTTTGCCACATTTAAACATGTGTTATTCCACCATTTATTATATTGTCTAATTTTTTTATTTTTATTAGGCCATATAACACTACATTATATCTTTACTCTGATTAAGAATCAGCCCTCAAATTTTCTTTTGGTACAATATAAGCATCCGCACACATACAATATCATCACCATTTTTACCCTTCATTATTCATTTCATTCAAACCTATATCTTATTATTGGTACTATCATACTATTTTCCAACAACCTAACTACTTAGCCCTATTTCTTTTTGGTTTATTACAATCAAATTAAATTTAATTAAAAATGATAAGACAGCATTAAGAATGATTTCAAAGGTCTGTCCCTTTTAATTGTACAGGCTTATGAAAGCAACGTTGCCAGTTTGATAATGAACTTATATCTAACCCGCGGGATACAAAAGAACGCAACTGAGTAACTATTGGGTATGATGGGATTTCTTCTATCTTATCATTTGCCCGCCAAGCGTTCCCTAATACAGTCTATTAACTGTACTATACCTTTTTAATACTTTGCTTAACTGTTTATTTTAATTTGTCGCTCTTACTTCATGACTCAATTGGCTTCATTAATCATTTTCTCAAATAGCTGCCCATCGAATTAAAAAATAATCATTGAATTTGTCGTAAATCTGTAGTTTTCAATTTATTGCTCTAATGTATTAGTGTTTGGGTATGACTATTTTTATCATTAAATATTATTTCTCGACAGCATTCTTTTACCCGTCAGCTATAAATACTTACTAAGTTCCGAAGTACTGGCCTAAGAGTTGTTATCGACCAATCATTTTCTTAATTAGATTATTTTCTATTTTATAAGTTCAATGTATAAAATTAAAAAAAAAAATAAACTTAAGAAAAATAAAAGGATGAAACTAAAAATTATTTTACCACTTACAAAAGGTACTAACTTAAAATTCCAAAAAAAAAAAAAACATTTTCAAAATTAGTGGACAATGATAAATAAATTACTCTGCTTATACTAATATAATACCCTAAAGCTATTTAAAGCTATTTTTTATAATTTCACATATTTTTATTGAAAAATTTTATACATTTATTAAGATTCAAATTTTGTAAAAAATAATAAATAATAAATAATTTTTTAATTTTCATTTAAAAGTTAAACAACATTTATGGGGTGCATAACCCATTTTAAGCAGCTTCTGCAATTTAAAGGTGTATATATGAGGCGTAGATAATTTATGGAAAGAGAGGTGGGATAAAAACATAAACCCCCTTTCCAATATTTTAAATTTAATTTGATTGTAATAAACCAAAAAGAAATAGGGCTAAGTAGTTAGGTTGTTGGAAAATAGTATGATAGTACCA